AAGGATAATCGGACGAGATGTAATATTTCCTAATGTAATGGTTGTACTATTAATGAAGGATATTCGGACGAGATGTAATTTACATCTCGTCCGATTATTATTCATTAATAGTACAACCATTACATTAGGAAATGTTATATCTCGTCCGATTATCCTTCATTAATAACACAACCATTACATTAGGAAATATTACATCTCGTCCGATTATCCTTCATTAATAACACAACCATTAAAGTAGGAAATGTTACATCTCGTCTGATTATCCTTCATTAATAACACAACCATTACATTAGGAAATATTACATCTCGTCCGATTATCCTTCATTAATAACACAACCATTACATTAGGAAATAACACAACCATTACATTAGGAAATGTTACATCTCGTCCGATTATCCTTCATTAATAACACGACCATTACATTAGGAAATGTTATATCTCGTCCGATTACCCTTCATTAATAACACAACCATTACATTAGGAAATAATAACATTTCCTAATGTAATGGTTGTGTTATTAATGAAGGATAATCGGACGAGATGTAACATTTCCTAATGTAATGGTTGTGTTATTAATGAAGGATAATAGGACGAGATGTAACATTTCCTACTTTAATGGTTGTATTATTTTATTCCAGACAGACTCAGACAGTAAAGTTTATTAATGTTTTTCGATTGGCGCTACAATGGATTAAATGTATATGTATATTCACTTGATAAAATTATGGGATTACAGTCAGACTGACAACTTAAAATTCTGGAGAAAAAGGAAATCCAAACGTTCTTGCTGGGATTATAAACATTTTAAACCGAGTAATTTCACTTCAAGAATGCCGACGAAGGAACATACTGTTTCTCTTATTACCCGCAAAATTTCTCGTCATCTTCTGTACATACATGTACGTATTCAGTCAGTTTCATTTGAAGAAGAAAAAAAAATAATGAATAAATTTATCAAAACAATATCTTCTTTTTATGTGTAGCCCATTCGAAGCTTTAAACTACTAAACTCTGTAAAAATGGTGCATTGGTGAAGACAACCTATACACGAACATCAACGCCCCCTGGTGGTGCAACGATAAGTCGGAGAGTTTATAACGCTAAAAATCGGGTTTCGAAGCCCCCCGTGGGCAGAGTGCATATAGCCTATTTGTAGTTTTGTGCTTGGCAGATCCGTCTTTGTACTAAGTCACACTTTACAAACAAGAAAAGCAATGTTAGCACAGACGTACCTATCGAATATCGCGTGCTAATTTAGATACTCTATGTTTGTTTGTTTTTTCAAACTATATTGGTGTGACCAGTAACTTCATATTTTAAATCTACTCAGAAGTATCTTGTGACAACGAATAAATTACGTCGATAAAATCAAATCGGAAGTAAAGGCAGTTTAAATCAATCGTAGCGTTTTGTAGATCAGAAAAAATATGATAGTTTGATTTGTATTTACCCTTTACGGTATATATATATATATATGTGTACATATAACACTTCGTTCTCAGTATGTTAACGCCGATAGTACATTATCTCATTAAAGAGCTCCATACTACTAATATACTTTGTACGTGCATGACGTGTTAATGACGCAATGGTTGCTATGGCATCCGCCTTTGCCTGATTTACTTAAATAAGTAAGTCTGTTTTATTATTATAACAAATTCGTGTACAGATTTCCATTTGGTAATTATGTTAGAATTGTGGGTTCAGGCCGAAGGATTGGTTTTGTTTATATTAAAAAGTGAAATATTTATCTAGCTGTGG